ATGTTATTCTATGGACTGGACAATGGGGTACACTGTAACTTACCCAAGATCACACAGACTCTAAGTCTCAGAAGCAAGACTGAAACTGTCCTGTCTGGTTGCAAAGAATAAATAAATCAAATGGGGGCGCCTGAGTGGCTCAGTTGGTTAAGCGTCCAACTTTGGCTCAGGTCATGATCTAACGATTTGTGGGTTCAAGCCCCACGTAGGGCTCTGTGCTGACAGCAAGCTCAGAGCCTGGAGCCTGCTTCAGATTGTGTGTCTCCCTCTCTCTGACCCTCCCCTGTTCAAGCTGTCTCTCTCTCTCTCTCCCTCTCTTTCCAAAATAAATAAAACATTAAAAAAATGAAAATCAATCAAATAAATTAAATCAAGAGTAGTAAAGACTTGATGTAGCCACAAACTGAGCATTCATTTAAATATTCCCTGTACCGCCCTCGAGGGGCACCTGGCCTTGTAGACATTCTCTGTATTCAGGTCTTTCTTCACCCCTCTTCCAGCAGAGTGTTTAACTATAGCCACCAGGAGGCGCAAGAAACTGTGGACATTGTTGCGCCTGCAAGGCAAGTTCCTGACATCTTGTTCTCATTTAGATTTCTCATTTTAAAAATACATTCCATTTATATTTAGGAAAACACCTGGCTGTTTCATGAAGCAGTATAAAATCATAAAATTACAGAATGATCAGGGTATATCAGTAAAGAGTAACTGTACCTATTTCTTACCTATCCCTCACCAGGCAAAAACACAGACATGCACACCATCCACGCCTCATTTAGAAGGTAAGGAAATTAAAATAAGATGACTTGTCCATACGTAGGCGTCCAATTGATGTCCGAATGGTGACTAGAACTCAGTTCCCAAAATTTGCAGATTAGCACATTTTTGCTCAAGGAAGTCTTGACCCCACTCAAGATTCCATGAACTTGAAGACATTATTTTACCTCTTTCTTTGTGCTGTGTTTTTTAACTTTTGCATTGAGCACATCTCATTCCGCCATCTATACACTTGATCACCAAAAATGCATACTCTTAAGTCAGTTTCTTAACAATCAGCTTTTAAAAGACATTAAAAGGAAACCTCTCCCATCCTCCCTGGCAGCCCTTCTGTTGACTGACCAGAGCTGTGTCAATATGATTTAGTCATCCTTTGAGTCTGAAATGCAAAACAGCAGAAATGTAATCAGAGTTAGACAAATCCTAAAGGGCGAGCACTTATCAAACACCTAGGATGTGATCGACCTGCAGAAATACATCAGTAGTCAGCAGGATATCTCAAGTCTTGTAGTTATTAATTTCCTTCTGCTTCTTTGCCCCCAGAGGATGTATGAACTATAAATGGACATTAAAAGGAAAACCAGGTTGGAGGTTAATGTTTCCTTAGGCTGTCAGTGTATGATATAGAGAGACATTATTGAGTTAGGCAAGTTAGTTACTTAACCACAGTTAAGTAACCACAGTTACAATGGCACATTTACATATAAAAGTACAATTTTCTAGCAGTGTCTCCCAGGACCTTCTGTTCCTCCTCCAGTTCTCAGTAAAAACTGAAGTCTCAGGAGTCACCAAAGTAACTGTTTCCAAGAAAACTGCTTCACAGTCTAGATCCTATCACTCTTCTATCTAAAACCCTTTAAAGTATATGAAAGGAAAAATATTGCCTGTCCTCAAGCAGACATGGCTAAACTTAACTGAGCCACCCACCATTCATTCAGATCATAACTGCAAGGAGTTTAAAATCAGACACGGTAATATTTTTTCCTTCACCTTCAGCATAGCAGTAGGGTAGAATCACAGAAACGTGGGCCATTATTCATCACTTAGACTTTAGGTCACATGGTTTTCTGAAGGCTGCGTCTCTGCCTCTGCGCCTCGCAGCTGTGGGACCCCGCAGTGAGAGAAAGCCGGCCGGGCCCTCGACTTCAGCCACTGTGGAAGGAAAACGACGATGCCATCAGTTAGCAACAGTGCAAGAGTAAAATCACTGTGGCTTTTAGAAAACTGATTTCTTTTTTTTTTTCTTGGCCTGCCTGTGGATCTGCTCTATCTTCTCATAGAAGCAAACAAATGTTCAGCTGACATTTTACTAGCTAGAGATTGATGGACAGTGTTTTACCCATTTCAGAAACATAGATTTGCATTCTGGTGTCTAGCTCCTTTCCCAGTGAAATGAGAATGTTACTGATGAGCTGTCAAATCAGCTGGCACTCAGTAGGCATGAGATAAATATTTGTCGAGGGAGTTAATTAGTAGTAGCTCTCACTGGCTGAGCTCAAACCAGATGTGCCGGCTGCTCCGCACGGTCACTGTCGTGCTGCACGCCGGAGACCTGAGGCCAGAAAGTTATGGAGGAGGGTCAGGGCCAGGAGGGTTCTCCACAGGATCGCCCTCCCTCTCCTAGAGGCATTAATGATACATACCAGCTTTGAAAACACACACCCGTGTAAGAACTCACAGGAGCAGAGGGCAAAAAAGGCAAATGCAAGGCCATCTTGGTTCATACACATGGTGTATGTTTTCCGGGTGATCCTCAGTAGCTTTGCTGTGATCTCTTGAGCCTTGGTCTCCTTGTTTGTAAGTGAAGTCTAGTACACGGACCTAAGCCAAAGCTTGTTACGAGAACTAACCAGACAGCCTGTGTGAGGCGCTCAGCACAGGGCCGGCGTGTAAGACGCCCAGTGTCACTGGTGGCTGTGCACGCACACTCCTGCAGGTTTTGGAAGCAACTTTGCATAGTTACCAGTAGACCAGCTGTTTCTTCTCAGGTGGCCACACAGCAGTGTGCACGTATAACCGGCTTCATTATAACAAAAACACAGATGTTTCCAGAATCAAGGCTGAGACACATTCAGGAAGAGTGACAACATCAGACCTTTCTCTTCTCCCTGATCCCTGCACCGCTTCCCACTGTAACTGCAGGGTCACTGCTGCTCATTTCATTTTCGCCAAATAAATAGATAGATGGATAAACACTTCCCTTAGTTCCCTCAACACAAGTGAGTCAAACTCACAGTCTAAAAAAGTTCCTAAGGGCACCTGGGTGGGGGAAGAGGGGTGCCTGGGTGGCTCACCAGTTATGCCTCTGACTTCACCTCAGGTCATGATCTCATGACTCAGGTCATGATCTCATGGGTTCGAGCCCCGCATCAGGCTCTGTGATGACAGCTCAGAGCCTGGAGCTGCTTCAGATCCTGTGTCTCCCTCTCTCTCTCTGACCCTCCCCTGCTCATGCTCTGTCTCTTTCAGTCTCTCAAAAATAAATAAATGTTAAAATTTTTTTTCTAAGTTACTGAATTCTAAGAGACAACTTAAGAGAAGGCAAATAAGGATGCTACAAACTCATGAGCACGTGTGTGTTGGGGGTGTTGGGGAGGGGCAGACTTTTCTCTGAGCCAATACCTTTGATTTTGTTAATTAGCTTGGAGCACCTGGGTGGCTCAGTCGGCTAAGCGTCCGACTTCGGCTCAGGTCATGATCTCATGGTTCATGGGTTCAAGCCCCGCGTCGGGCTCTGTGCTGACAGCTCAGAGCCTGGAGCCTGCTTCCGATTCTTTGTCTCCCTCTCTCTCTGACCCTCCCCTGCTCACGCTGTCTCCCTCTCTCTCTCTCTCACAGAAATAAATAAAACATTAAAATAAAAATTAGCTTGCCTAATAGGCTATCCCCCCTCTTCTTATAATTGCCTATTTGTTTTACAATTTGTATTGAGTATTTTTGTAAGGCACCTTAAATACTTAGGAAAAAGGGGCCAGGTATAAAAAAAAAATGGATGATAGCTAGGTGGAAAGATAGAAGAAAGGAAGGAAGGGAGGGAGGAAGAGAAGGAGAGAAAGAAGGAAGGAGAGGGACACCTGGGTGGCTCAGTCAGTTAGGCATCTGCCTTTGGCTCAAGTCATGATCTCACAGTTCATGAGTTCGAGCCCGACATCAGGGGGCTCTCTGCTGTACACACAGAGCCCACTTCAGATCTTCTGTCTTCCTCTCTCTCTGGCCCTCCTCGGCTTGTGCTCTCTCTCTGTCAAAAATAAATAAAAAATTTTTTAAATAAAGGGGGCGGGGGGCGCCGCTGAGTGGCTCAGTCGGTTGAGAATCCAACTTTAGCTCAGGTCATGATCTCATAGTTCATGAGTGCAAGCCCCGTGTCGGGCTCTGTGCTGGTACCTCAGAGCCTGGAGCCTGCTTCAGATTCTGTGTCCCCTTCTCTCTGCCCCTCCCCCATTCACACTCTGTCTCTCTCTCAAAAATAAATAAACATTAAACAAATTAAAAAGGAAAGAAAGAAAGAAAATAAATGATTTTGCAAAATTTTTGAAACTCCGATAACTCCCTGTGGACCAAGAGACAGAACAGTCTTCCCTCAAAGCCCCCGGCCCACCTGGTGGACACTGCCTTGTTTCCCACCACACAGAAATCCACAAACAGCCCATCTAGCTCTCTTCTCTCCCATTACCACATCCCAGGGCTCTAAGGGTTGTAGTGACTCATATCATCAAAATTTTTACCTTCCTGGCTTAGATTATTGGCTCTGTCTGCTTTTAGACTACTTTGTAATTAAACTGAACCCTCCTAAAAATGTGCTACCCATCCCATACTGAAAGTATCATAATACCTTGATTTTCCCCTCACATAAGACACATTTCTGCATATCTACCTCAAAGGGCAATTATGCCCTCAGTAGGAGACTTTTTGGTACTGTCATTTTCATCTCCTCTATCCCCCTCCATGGTTCATAAAAGGCATTCAGAGCCGTTCAAGAAATATTTGTTAAACTGAGTTGAATTGAACAAAAAATATTTATATCCTTTCCTCATGTATTAGATTTTGAATGACAGAATTTAACAGTTAAATTGGCATCATTAAACCCTCCACGTGTTTCCAGCTTTGCTTTATTAGAAATCTAAATAGATTTACATGTTGGTTATTAACCTCTGTTACTATTGAAGAGCTGAACTGTATAATAATGAACTAAACTTAACAAAATATGATATTGATTTCTATAGGGATTCAAGGACATTTCTCTTGAGAGATTTATCCATGGGGGAGCCAATGTTACAGGGTTCCAGCTGGTTGATTTTAATACGCCTATGGTAACCAAACTAATGGATCGCTGGAGGAAGCTAGACCAGAGAGAGTATCCAGGGTCTGAGACTCCTCCAAAGGTACGTATTTGTTTTTATCTTATGTATTTTTAGTATTTTAAAAATTTAAGGTAGAAAGTTCATTATGTAGTTGTTCTCATAAGTTTTGTCAGGCATAGTCAGAGCAGAAGCATTTTGTCACTATCACTATACTGCACAAATTCTTAATAGTTTCTAAATTTTATATGTAAGAGCATGGTTGTTAGACATTAGCTGAAGCAGTTTACTATGACCATTATTATTACTCCACATATAAATTTCCATGAAGAAATTGTGTGCTTTAAAACAATTTTTCATTCACTAAATTTCTCAGAGGTAAGCCACGCTTGGTAACTGGTCCACCCCCAAACCACCACTAAACAAAAACTATATTTGCAAAGTGATTTATAAGGAGTAGGCAAAATGGGGAATTGGTAGAAATGTAAAATGTGTCAGCTCCTGCAAAACTTCTCTTTCAAACTAATAGCTAAAGGTCAGGTTGCTTAATTTTTCTGTGATTGACATTGTAGAAACATGTTAGTGGTATCCACAAAAGAGGCTGGTGGACTTCTCGTCACAGCCCATTTTCCCTCACCTGAAAACATAGACACCTGCCTTAGATATCATGTACATGATGGCATAGTATATCTCACACTCGGACTTAGTGACTTTGAGCTCCTACGTAATAAGGCAATTCTCATTTTCATTGTGCACTGATTCTTCACTGTCAGTGTTTTCATCTAAAAAGTTTTCAGATGTAATTTGGAAATTCAAGCCTAGAAAACTATAGGTAATCTAGATCCCCAGGCAAATAGTCTCGCTTCTTTTGTTCTCTAAATATAGCACTTTCCCCACCAGCCATGTCAGTTCCCCTCAGTAAAACAGGAATTTGGCTGATCATCTCATCTTTACTACTCTCTAGATTCATGAAATTTCAAAACAGAACATATATTGAGTATCCGCTATGTGTCAAGCACTGTATCCAACCTTCTGATTTTATGGACTAGTAAATACAGGTTATTAAATGGGTGTGTTAATTGGCCATCTCAGAGTTTGTAGGATGCCCAGAGTCACGGGCTTCCTGAGTCTTAGACAAGTGCATTGTCTGCTGTATTCCACCACTTCCCGTACTTGGATAATATATGTAAAAGCATATAAAAAAGCCAAATTATAGTCAAGATGCAAGAAACCCTCCAGATTAAAAGCACCTTGAGAAGTCCTTCAGCCTTCACTCCAGTTCAGAGAGAAACCCTCCGCAAAGCCCAGTTGTATCAAGTGTTAATGTACAAAGAGAGGGCTGGAAAGCTTACTTTTGGATTCATTTCTGATCCAGACACTTTGCCATATGGCATGTTCCCTTCATTCTGTTGTCTGTGTGCCGAGACTTCCTTGCACTTGTGCTCCTCACACCAACCAGTCTGACTCTTCCTTCCTCACCCCACCTGTTGTCAGACCATCCTTTAGCTAGGTGTTTCTTCTGTAAGCAGTCTTTCTAAGATCTTATGACCCATTGAGCTATCGTATCTAGAACAGGCCTCAAACTTTTTGGTAGTGTTTTGTGCCCCTTGTGATGCTCACATCACCACGTGATCAGAATGTCCACTGTGGTCCTCCCCGCTGGGCACACTGATGTGGTCAGTCATTCCCTCCCCTGCCTCGAGCCCACCCAGTGTCTCCTGTTTAGTAACCTCCAACTAGACTTGTCTTTGCCATAGTGTGAGACCCTTTGTTTTGTATACAATACATAATTTTCTCATTTTTCACAGCTCTTATTAGCATGATGCTAGGCACTTACTGTTTCATAAATGTGCACAATCAGTTCTCATTATACATAGTAGGTATGGTCTATAAAGTTGCCATGAACCCTGAGTGAGTGAGCTCTGAGCATGTCCTCCTACGAGAAATACAAGGTTAAGTTCTTCCAAGCCTCTGGTCATAACATTTTTGTCAGCCATTCAACACATAACATAAACATATTGTTTTAAGTCTTTTTAAAGAACCCTATTTAATGCATTGTTGATTCATTAACATTGAACTTGCAGCCAAGAGCGCTATGACTCCTTCCTCCAAAGGACTTAGCCGGCACATGTCTTTTCTCCGCAAGGCACACCACAGCCTTCTTGCATGGAGGATCACTACACAGCACAACAGCACTACACTTTTGAGTCATCTTAAAAAGCGAAATCATCAGCAAAAAGCACATCACTTTGGAAAAATGAGGCACGAAGTAGACCACAAGAGGCCCCAAGTTTACAGCGTGGGAGCTGACACAAGAAGACAGAATATTGCCTAGTTTGACTGCCGCTGGGTGTGCATGCATTGTGTGACCCTATTTTTCACCAGCTCCACACACGTCTGCAAATGACCCCCTGTGGCTTTTGATTTGGGTGTCACAAACCAATTTTAGCAAGTAGGCAAACGTGCGAATATCGGATCCATGAATAATGAGGATCAAATGTACTCAACTGAATTGTACTTGATTTTTTCGGTATCTCATCAAAGATTTGAAACACGATTTCTGATTTTGTCACCCCCTGACCTGAAGAAAAGGAAACCTCCTGGCACAGAGGTGCTCCACAGTGTAGGCCTGGCAAGTCTTCCCCCTCCTGGGTGCCTTTGCTCCCTTTCTGGGCAGCCGAACTGCGCGGCCCCAAAGTTGTCCCTCCTTCCCAGCCCTTGAGTCCTTGCTCTCACCTTCGCTCTCCTCCACCTTCATTTCTACCTTCCAGACCCGACCACCTTATCTGAGCCTTCATCTCAAATCCCACTTTCTCTATGAAGTTTTTCCTTAGTCTCCCAGTAAGTATGATCCCTTTCGCCTGTGTAATCTCCATATTATTTCATTGTGTCATTCTCACCGAGGACTTCACATAATTTTCTATCTATTTATTGTTGCACTTCTCTAAATTCCTTTAAAGCAGTAACCGTGTAGGACACATCTCTGTAGACCTCGCCATTCCTAGCCAGTGTCTAGCACGCTTTTCAAAGAGTTCTCAGATGTGCTGTTTCATCCTTGCCACAACCACAGGAAATAGGCACTGTTATTTTGTTTGGTTTGATTCTGCACCATTTTGTGTTCCACAGCTAGAAAATGTACACATTCCCATAAAACCAGGAGTAACAGAGTTAGAATTCACGTAGCTCTTTCCTCTGAAAGCCCAGGCTCTCAGCACGGTGCTATGATTCTGCCAAACTGTTTCGTTATCTGCAACCCCAGGTAACCAGACCTCACTTCACCATGGTGATCACCATCTGAACCAGGGATAACTCTAGGCCAAGACCGAGTTTTTACCCTGCCCTAAAATGAAATGTTTACTCAGTAAGAATTTTCTAGATGCTGTCTAGAAGTGTGCGCGCATAAATACGATTCATTAGACGTTAACACAGCATGACACTTGGAAGAGAATTATATCTTTTGAAAAGGTAAAACCTGTTTAAACCCCTGCAGCTTTCCAAGCCCCACCCTTACGGCCCGTCAAAGGCCCTCGCTGCTCTCACCGCCTGCCTGCTTTGCCCTGCTCCGCTCTGTGTGATACCTGTTCTCTTTTTGAGTTCACTTGTTTCATGAAAATGGATGGACCTTTCAAAACACGGCAAGTGCATCTGCTTTTTGGTGCCATCTCTTCTCAGCTTTGTTCTCCCATCAAAACAGCAACAGTGGTGGTGGTGGTGGTGGTGGTGTTTTCCTTTCTTAACCCTAAAACACCAGCATTGCATTTTCTCAGGGCTTTCACGTCTTTAGTGAGTTCTACTTTGTTTCTTGTTTTTCTTTTCTTACTTTACAAAGCAACAATGACAACACGGGTTGACGGCTTTCTCTGCTCAGAGATGTCGGGTCCAGGCAGGGGAGGAGGTAGAACATCATCCCAGCTGTGAGCGCGCACGCCTGCCCTTACCCCTCTCTCGTCATGTGTTTGAAGAGTATGTTACAAGGCTGGTGTTCGCAGGTCTCTCATGCATTTTCCTGCTGAAGCTTTTTAATTAGGCTCTCTACCTGGAAGGATTCTTTTTTTTTTTTTTTTTTCTTAAATAGCTTATTGTCAAGTTGGTTTCCATATAACACCTGAAAGGTTCTTTGCTGGGATTTATATTCTTGACCACATCCACGTTTCGTTCTCTCTTCCCTGGCTGATGTGCTTACTGGTCACATTTCCTAAGTTTACTTTCTGCAATTTGAATTTCAAATGATTTCTTTTCTCTTTGCAAGCAGCAAAGCAAGGGGACATCCTCCACTTTTCACAGCACAACACCGCCTCCCGTACAGGCTTGCAGTGTATTCATCATAGAGAACTGACCACATGGAATTCCCAGAAGAGATCGTGCAGGCTGTGGTCATGACTGGGGGCTGGCACTCTGACAACAGAGTTGGCTTCGGGAAGATTGTGCCCTGTTTTCCACGTGTTCGTAGTCCTTGTTCTTTTTATTTTCAGCTTAAACAAGTTACATGTTCTTGGTTTTTCCTTTTGCTTCCTCTCCTGTCCTTGATAATTTTTTCCTGAGGGTTTTATCTTTTCTGACAGGCGAGGAGCATCATCAGAGAACACAGGGCCCTCCCTTCACCTCTCCACTTCGGCCCTCTGTTACAGCAGACGCTTCGGGGAATGACCTGACGTTCCCGCACACACGTATAGCAGACAACAGGCACGGACATAACTATGTTCATTCCTATGTAGCACAGTGACTGGTGCACACACTTTTGTTCTATAAGTAGATGTCGTTTCTGGCATCTTGTGTCTAGCTGACAGTAAACATTCCCACAGGCTTCTGAGAAACCCAACCAACATATACACTTCAACTCAGTAAATGCTTAATAAATCTTAAGGAGCCCTGCTGGGCATTTCAGAAGGGGAAAGGAATGAGGCATCACAGACCTTCTGCTCTCAGTCACAGCACGTGACCACAAGGCAGATAGTGGCAGTAATGCACTTAGCTGCTTACACTGTGTCTCTTTCTACTCAGACACAGTGGAAAGACCTCACCAACCATTGGGTTGTTTTTCTCACCCAATGGAAAACTGTGCATTAAAATTTCTATTGTTCAGTGTGTTTTCCCCTTTTAAAATGGTACGATTGGTCATACACTCTCTGTAATAACATGATAATAGAAATTTCTGAAGCTAGAGTCAATTAATTATCAATAATTTAACTGACCTTCAGACAGGAGGGTGCTTAATGCCCCCTCCTGGGGTGCTAGAGGGCCCCAAGACAGTTCTTGGTGACTGATAAGATTTGATGGTTCACCAATAAAATTGCTTTCATTTTGTTAGTATACATCTGCTCTGACTTACGATGGAGTCCTTGTGATGGCTGAAACCTTCAGAAATCTTAGGAGGCAAAAAATTGATATTTCAAGGAGAGGAAATGCTGGGGATTGTCTGGCAAACCCTGCTGCTCCGTGGGGCCAGGGAATTGACATGGAGAGGACACTCAAACAGGTAACTCACAGTTTTATTTAATTAAGTTCAGTTTAGTTCAGAGCCTTCAGTGAGGCCTATCCAAGACAATGGAATAATTTTTCTGAGAGTAAATCTATATTACAATTGCCATTTTAATATATTAAGCCATTATCATTTTTGAGAGGTTTCTAAATAAAATACAGAGTAGAATACTGTTCATATCTTACTCAAGATAAACTAGGTTATGCCACAACAGTAAACAACCCCAAGTCCTAATGACTTCAGACAACAGGAGTATTTCTCAGTCACACACATGTCAGATTAGGAGAGGTACTCTGCCTGTTGTAGTCACTCAGGTTAGCACAACAGCTACCATCTCAAATGCTACAAAGAGAAAGAGAGTTATGGAACCTTTCCAACTGGCAATTAAATGCTGTAGCCCAGTGGTGACACTCATGACTTCAGTTTACAACTCACTTATTTTAGTCACATTGACCTACCTAACTACAAGGGCTCCAGGATGTACTTGCTACCTTGAGACCAGAACATCCAAGAACCAGAAATATTATTTAAACACTGCTAATGACCACCTCAGTAGATCTTTAAATTGCCTTGTAACCTTGGATTAAGTAATTTGTTTATTTTACTCTGCTTGGATTATACTAACACCGTTTTTCAAATGATTAATGTAATATGTGTGTATTTTTAATCTTACATTTTAAACGTTCTGAAATGCCATGAATTCAGATCACAAGTAAAAATGAATTAAAAGGAAATTTGGAATAAAGTACACTTGAATTTTTTTTAATATATTTGTATTTTAAACTCCTCAGGGCTTAATTTTAATATTATCAAGGAGAATATGATACATAATGGTTAGCAGGACTATTTAATGTATTATATGAATACATAGATAAAACTAAAAAGCAACTATAAACAAACAATATTTTCTTCCCCTTAGGCAATACTTCAATATTGAGGAAGTATTCTTTATCACATAAAAAAACAAAACATACTCATCTTTCAAGTATATGTCAGAATTGCTTGTATCCCTCTGATTTACTTCTTTCAGATTATCTCCCAGCAGCTCAAATACCCTATGGTTTTTAGTGAGTTATTTATAGCTTATAGTTATAGTCATAAGCCTAGCAGATGAAGTCAAGATTTCCATAAGCAAAATGGCAAATGAATATATGTGTGGGTTTTGTTTTTAAATTCATAGGTTCGAATTCAAGGCCTGACAGGGAATGTTCAGTTTGACCACTATGGACGTAGAGTCAATTACACAATGGATGTGTTTGAGCTGAAGAGCACAGGGCCTAGAAAGGTGAGCCACACTCAACCCATCTTCGTAGTTTGCATTTGACATTTTTAAAGGCTTATATTTAATAGGTAGCTGGATGTTCTACATTGGTTTTTAAATGTGAGTGCTTACAAATAGTATTTTTTTCATAATCTGTGCTGAAATAAATTCTTGTGTCATATAATTGATGTTTAATGGTGTGCCAAAACTGAAACAAACTAATTTATATACCATTTGTGTCTTTTATCCAAAATGGAAGCAATACATTAAAAAAAAAAAAAACGCTTAGCAAAAAGAGTCTCAACAACCAAAATTTACCATGCAGGAAAGGATACCCTGATATTTAGAACAGACTAAAATGTTCTTGAAATAAGCAAGTAAACACATTCCGGTGAACAAAAGAAAGAGCAGATAGAAGATGAGATTCAGTATCACTTTGCCAGTGGGGTAGTGAAACACCTGAGAAACTCTAATTGAGGAGATGGGGAAGTTGGGTAGGAAGCTGCTGGTGCTAGCTTCCTGGATTTCGGAAGGTAACTCTGCTGGCCTGATGACGTGACTGGACATATCAGTGGTCGTCTGAAAATCCAAAAAGTACTTGATGTCATGGACCCAGACAATCCAACCACAGTAGTTGGCTATAGACACTTTATACCCTAACACATATATTTTTTACCTTTCCTTTCACTAGGATTAACTAGGGTGCTCAAGGAAAGATGTGTTCAATCATCAATCAACCTGATCTAAATATTGTCTCAACCCTTGGCCATTTAAAAAAAATTCTCCTGTGTAATGTCCTACTACAATGCAATGATCGTAGCTATAACTTATGAAATGTCACCTGTGTCCTAAACACTGGACTTGGTATGATTTGATCCTCACAACAAACCTGTAATGCGAGTACTAGAAAACTACGGCCTGACAGGCTATGGGTCCTTGTCTAAAGCCCAGCAGTAAGAAAACAAAGACTTTAATTCAGATGTGTCTGACTCCAGAAACTTCTACATCATTACCCCACCCAAGCAGACCTGCTCTGAAGGAGTTTACTCTCTCGTGGGGTAGAGTCTAGAAGTTCCTTGACAGCTAAAGAGGAGGCATGTGGAAATCATAAAGAGGAGGAGATCCCTTCCAGCCAGAGGAAGACAGATCAAGGCCGGCTGTTTCGAGGGAGGCTTTAAAGTCAGGCAGGAAATCAGCGTTGGGGCAGGAGGGAGTGGAGGCTGGGTGTGGCGAGAACCTGAAGCGAGTCCGGGAGGCAGAACAGTTCAAGTCACAGGTGGCAAGTGTCCGAGGGTCTCCTAGTTTTCTTTTGCTGCAGTCTGGCAGGGGATGTGCTTGGGGGGGGGGGGGGGGGGTTTGGAGCTGCCATGGAAACCACCCTGGTGTCTCAGCCTCTCAGGGGCATCTCCTGGGGTGCAGGCTGCCAGCCGCAGCCTCCCCAGACCAGAGCCAGGGAGCAGGCGACAGGGCACCCGAGGAGCAGGGCTCCCAGGAAGCTACGTAGTGAGTCCCGTGTACGCACCACACCACCTGTACCCACTGTGTCCACACAGCCAGCAACAAGAAAGGAAGACACTCTTTGGGGCAAAATCCTGTCAGCCATGGAGCAGACGGAGTCCTCCGCAGGCCCCTAAACACGTTGGCTCACAGCCAGGCACACTTTCCTGCCACACACCAGACTTTGCAAAAGTAGCCACGTAAACGGAAGCTTTCCAAAATGCCAAAGACCACCCCTACTTCACAAAGCAGTAAGTGCAGAGAGTAGAATGACCTCTCTGTAAAAGAAAGCATAACGTAAAAAAGGAAACCAATAGCAAGCGAGCTATTTACAGCACTGAATCCTTCCGTGGCCTCTTGCTTCAGGATGCCAACATGCCAACGGCAGTTAAGGTTTTTGGAGGGGAAGGTTGAAGAGTAAGTTGAGAGAGTGATGCACATCTTCCCACTCGGCTGACATCCATCTAAGGCTCTTAAAAGAAATACGAAGGGTAACATCGTGTAGACTCATCCATCTTCATTTTTCCATGGCAGCGAGCAACTTGGGCATTCTGTCAATATTAAGCCTAAAAATGAGCTACTCCAAGAAACACTCTGCTAGGGAAACTCGGCGATATGTCTGCAAAGTGAGCAATCATTCTTGTAAATGGAACAGTTGCCAGCAAGGGAGCTCTCTCTGAAAATAGATCAGAAAGTGTGCCCGCTGGCCTGGCTGACTTCTGTGACACAGGCACTCATTGAGAGACTCGTTAAGGAGCCACCCCAGGGGCGCCCGGGTGGCTCAGTTGGCAGAGCGACCAACTTCAGCTCAGGTCATGATCTCATGGTTCCTGGGTTCGAGCCCCGCATCGGGCTCTGTGCTGCCAGCTCAGAGCCTGGAACCTGCTTCAGATTCTGTGTCTCCCTCTCTCTCTGACCCTCCCCTGCTCACACTGTCTCTCTCTCTGTCTCTCAGAAATAAAATAAAAAACGTTTTAAAAAATTTAAAAAAGGAGCAGCCCCAAAGCCCTTTCTGAAGGGCCAGCTGCTAAGTGTGGTGGGACCTTCCCCCTGCAGTGAGTCCCAGGAAGTTTCCTGGAACGCAAAGTGCATGGCAGTGGGGATTCTCAATTGGAAACATTGTATTTATTGAGAGCAGGTTGCATGCCAGACACAGAAATGGAAAACTGATGGGCCTTTTTATATTTAATCCACATGACAACCTGAAAGTGAGATATATTTTTTCTATTTTTATTTTTTTTAAGTTTGTTTATTTTAAGAGAGAGAGGGAGGGAAGGAGAAACCCAAACAGGCTCTGTTCGGTTAGCACAGATCCCTATGTGGGGCTCAGTCCCCCAAACCATGAGATCATGACCTGAGTGAAAATGAAGTGTCGGCTGCTTAACCAACTGAGCCACCCAGGCACCTCTATTTATTCTCATTTTATTTATATATTTATTTATTTATTTATATCTGAAAGAGAGAGACAGCATGAGCAGGGGAGAGTCAGAGAGAGGCGGAGACACAGGATCTGAAACAGGCTCCAGGCTCTGAGCTGTCAACACAGAGCCCAACGCGGGGCTCGAACCCACGAACCGTGAGATCATGACCTGAGCCAAAGTCGGACACTTAACCGACTGAGCCACCCAGGCGCCCCTATTCTCATTTTAAAGGAGAGAAAAGTAAAACTCACAGAAGCTGAGTAACCCGCCCAGGGATGTTCAGCTAGAAAGTGATGGAAATGGAGTGGAGACCAGGGCTCACCAGGCTCCAGGGCTCACTGTCTTGATTGATTGCTGTGACACCATCAGTGCCGGGGCCTCTAAGAGTTTTCTTTAGGGCTGGTGTGGGAATTAAGCCATATTCTGGGGGGACGGGTCTGTTCATATCAGCCCTCCTAGAAGCAAGCATTAAGTAGATCAGGGGCTCCTCATAGCCCCTCAGTCCTCACCCGCTCTCTACATTACAGGCAAGATCCACTGCAAAAACAGAGATGTTTACTCATAGCGTGGCGATACTCATGCATAAATCACCTTTAGGAGTCCAGAGAAGACAAATATTTTTCTGACATGCCTGCCTTTTTAGTGATTTAAATACTTCCCTATTTTTGCTCTAGCATTACAAAAGTATCCCTCACCCAGTGTCTGTCTCTAGGAACAGTAGCGTCCCGTCTGATTAAGAGAGATCAGGCCTGGGAAAAGTCATTGGTACGCTGTAAAATGTTGTGGAGAACTAGACGGAGCATCTCCATCTCTCGTGAGGTTCTAGGTCCCAACTTAAGATTCCTTTCCTCAGGAGGTGACCCTACATCACTGCCTGCTCTAATTGACTCCCCCGCAGTGAGTCCCTGTCCGATGAGGTCTGCCCTGAGGGGGCCCGTACCCCAAGCCATGGCTTTCTTTTTGCACAGAATTGCAAGTAAATATAAGGCAAACAGATCCACTTAGGTAAAGTTTTGCTTATTATCTTAACTTGTCAGCACTTCTAAATCATTTATCTTTTAAGGATAGAGGTCATGAAGCCATGGGCCATTTTTAAATGCGAGATGTGTCGGCGTTTTTAAATGCTGAGAATGTGTCCCAAATCTGTGGTTTTTCTGTTGTGGGAACTCATCAATAAAGAAAAATGCTGTTCCTAGAGAATGAGCTGCTGAGACCTGGAAAGTGGCTCTCTTAATGAAGTGCCAAACTGTGAGACCTATTTCCACGTCATATAACTGTCACGTGGAGAGGGGAATTAACAGGAAGTGTGTTAATTGACACGTTGCTTTTTTTAGTTTTTAAAATACATGTAGGAATTGAGGGTGTGTGAGGGTGTGGGTGTGTGGTCTCAGAGGCATACTTGTTTTTAAATTAACATTTTCACTGAGTTCTTAAATAAACATCTGCTACAAATAGATTCATGTGGACACCTGAAAGCAGTTGCTGAACTGATCTACGCTTGTAATTTGAGCTCAAACTAAGAACTGTATCAATAATGAAAGTCCGTTTCCTCCATCTGTCCTGTGATTACCCATGCAACATTTGTGAATAATAATAGTGTCTCTTTCTGACACGTAAATGCTTACTTCATTTTAATATGTTCAAAAATACCAACACGATAGTTAAGAAACTTGGAGGAAGCAGGAGAGACTTCCAAAACATATGAGAACAAATGAGACCAGTAAGGAATTAAGTACATTTTATCAGAGACAAGAGTATCATCACCTGCATCCAGAAATTCAAGAAGGAAGTTGAGCAGCCATTTAGTGAACACCTACTTGGGGAGATTGTGGGGCCTAATACCAAAGGGTGTGAACTCAGTGTCCTACAGACCGAGGATTGGAACTCAGGCCCCATGGGACTTTTCCTGAGTACAGTGCGTTTTACCTTCTTATATACGTCCTTGTCTCCAAAATCAGGGTCATAAATGCACCTGCCTCTGAACTCGCTGCGTGGATAAACTTTTCAGTGCATCTAAAGAAAAAGCAATGGGGACAGTGTGTGTCCCAAAGCAAGCAGCCCGTGTGGAGGCCATTCCTAGTACTTCATGGTCTGTGTGATGCAAAGGGCCCTGCATTTCCTATACGACCCCATGACAGTTCATTACTTTGTAAAGTACTTAACTAAGTACTTAATATACTTTATGGAAAGGATTTTGTTTCATGCCTAAATGAGAAAGTAATACAAGGATTTAAAAATACAAGAATACAGGGGCACCTGGATGGCTCAGTCAGTTGAACACCAACTTCAGTTCAGGTCATGATCTCCAAGTTTGTGAGTTCAAGCCCTGCATCGGGCTCTTTGCTGATGGCTCAGAGCCTGGATCCTGCTTCAGATTCTGTGTCTCCCTCTCTCTCTGCTCGCCCCCCACTCATGCTCGCTCTCTCGCTCTCTCTCTCTCAAAAATAAATAAATAAACTTTAAAAAGTAAAAAAATAAAAATATAAGATTACAAATTTAAGTGTGATCTTTGAAAGTGAAAATACATTAACATTAATGCCTGATGTACGTAGCATTTTAGAAATGGTCAGGCTTTTACCCCATGGTGAGGTTATGGAAAACCCAAAACTATTTCTATATTGCCTCAAAAATATGCAAGTCTTTTTTGCTCAAAAATATCCTGTATGTATTCCCTTTGCAATAAAGCCAGTAACTGATAAAACCATGTAAATTAATTTTAGAAGGTGCCAGTCAGTCCCTCTAGAGAGAGGTAGTCCATCTGTGTCCCTATTCTGTTTTGAACCCCTCCTCCCCGGTGTCATAGCTGCTCCATGATTGTATATCGTAAAGTTGCCCAGTGTACCACCAGGCAGGACCCTTAACATCAGAAAAATCAGCTCATCATCAACTAAGAAAACTTCCAAATCCTTTTTGTCTCCTTTTTAAATTTGCTTGCTTATTAATATTCCTCATTGTTCCAGGAAGAGCTAGAGAAAGCTGTTCTAAAATGTGTCTTCACTGCTTTTCTCTGTTCGGCAGGTTGGTTACTGGAACGATATGGATAAATTAGTCTTGATTCAAGATATGCCCACTCTTGGCAACGACACAGCAGCTATTGAGAACAGAACAGTGGTTGTAACCACAATTATGGTAAGTTTTGGTCTATGCTTTATGCTGTTCCGTCTTGTCCACAGGCAGATTTAATTCCCCAGCCACGGGGAGCAGGGTGAGCACAGCATCCTAGCTGGGGTGACGTGGGTCATGGGTCACGTGATCCACGGGAGTCTGTTGAGGCCCTGAATAGGTTTGCCCCGAGCTTTGAGGACATTCGGCACTTTTATTTGTATTACCTTTTGTTGCATTTGTTGTTCTTGGAAAAATGCTCAGATGTTAAAAATTGAAACTGTCACACTCTAGTTAGAAATGTATGACATGCTCACTTTCCAAAGGACACAAGAATGAACATGAAAAAATCAGCAACCAGTCACAGAAAAATATCTGGTGGTAAACACCATATTATTGTTGTTACTATGTTTTTTAACACATCAATGTACTAATAGTTAATAGTGTCAAAATGGATAATTTTCAAGTAGTTTAATCATTGGATAGTGATTTGCATTGTCTGTTTATAATAGCAGAGATGTGAATGTAAAGATTTTAATGAGCCTGTTTTATATAACTAAATGCTTTCGAAATAATTTTGTTTTATATTTATTTTTAATGTGACAAGGGTGTTTTGCACCGATTATTTTTCTCATTGACCAATGACACGTACACAATATGATGTATCGGACTTCTCCTAAGAATTAGGACAAATCCGATTGCTCCATTCTGCCTCATCATAACATGAAAAATACTCTGAGTTTTAAGGACATTTTCTCAACAAGACCCTAATGAAAATACCTTCTAAATAGTAGAGAATATCTGGTATATTTTTCTGCCCTAAAGTCAAGCCTGCACTTTAGAGTCGTTGCTGCTCAAAGAGATCAACAGTCGGTGACCCATATCCTCAGCTCACTGTCTCGTTAGGCGGAACACATTTTTAATAATTCATGAAGCCCCTACTCTAAATAAAGTGGAAGTATTTTGTGTTATTCAGCTTTTAGCTTATGTAACTTTAATTTTTAGTAACGTCAAGTTTTTTCCAAAACTTTTGGCCCTGGAGTCAAAGCACGAAAGTGCCAGAGAGAAAGAAGCTTCCTTGTGTTGCAGTTAGTTTTCTGTGTCGCATCACCAGCTAGCAATTTACTGTTAATCTGCCAAGCCTTGATTGGAAGTTGATGATTTTAGAATGCAAACCAACTGACAGCAGTTTTTGTGTAAGAGTGCGAAATCCACACCTTCTAGCTTAATTGTGTAATACTTGCATGGGACTTGAAAAGCAGTGTGTCTGTACGTATATACTTCCTTTCCTAAAAAAGACACAGTAATGCAGAGTCGTGCTTCAGTGCAGTCCTCGTCTTTTCAGCCTCTGATGAAGAACCCTATTTTAAGAAATTGATCAAGAAGGAAATGAGTTCCACGCTCTTCAACCATTCCTAACTAAGGCCCGCGTCTTGTTCTCCTGTGTAGTAAATTTAAGCTAAGTTTTCATGTGGGATTCTTCTTCGATGACCACCTCTGGACTACCAGAAAAAAAAAATTTTTAAGTTCTGTGACTTTTCCAAGATCCTAGAAAAGAAGAATTAATCCTCATCTTTCTCAAGAAAATTCATAGATGTTGAAAAAGAGTCACTTAGTAATACTGACCCATCAGTTCCCCTGTCTTGAAACGAGGTCACTGTACAGAAAGGTGGGATTCTGTCACTCCTAGCCCCGCTCAAAGGTCTTCTAAAAGTAAATATCTCTGAGTTTGTGTGCTTGTTTCCTGGATATACACAGCTGTTTTCTTTAAAGGTTCTCTGGAATCTTGCCTGTTCTGTGTGAAATAAAGTGTTTTCATGTGCATTATAGGTAAAATGTAGACAGTCTCCTTTTCATCCCTGTTATTAAAGGCGCTGGAGATCTGATTCTTGAAACCAAAATATTGAATCACTTTCCAAGCATGGCTTGTTTTCAGGAAGCATGCTACCAAAAATAAGTTAAAATGATTGAGATTCAGTGGTTTCCTATATACATAAAGAATATTCTGTAAAGTTAACTGTTATTTGACAATGATGATCATTAATATTTTGCCATTAAAACAGTGCAGTATTCATATTTGTCTTTTGTATAAAAATGTAATGTTCGTATAGTAATACCTCTGGGCTTTGCAATTGCATAATGATTTGGTAATTTTAAAAATTACCAGAATCTTTTCCCTAGAAGCATTCCTTATATTTGCTCTTGTTGAAAATGGTCGCCCGGGACCTCTGACCATTCCACCACCTCATTCATTTTGAAAGAAATATGGTTCCTTGTAAATGAATGGGATATTGGCACCTACATGTCAAAATCTCCCAAATCCAACTGAGAACGCCCCACACAGATGGAATTGGTTAGACCCTGTGACATGTGCCAGGCAGGCACCCAGACACCAAGGTTGAGTGTGGTGGCCTGGAAGCCGTGCGTTCTGATCAAAGCTGATACGCGCTGCTCCTCCATGTGTCTTTGCTTTGTGTATGTTGTTATTTCTGTGTTGATACATTGTAATGATATCTGCTGTCGTTAAATAAAAGTGATTGAGAAATTCATTTACTCATCCATAAATATTTATTAAGCTGGGCACGGGATATGCTAGAGAACAAAACAGACGAGAATCCTGCCCTCAGATGAGTTTATGTTCTGGTGGAAGAAGGCGGACCACAGACAATAGATAGGTTTTGTGAATCTCATTCTTAAATAAAATGTGGCGTCAGCTTTTTGTACTGTTGAAATTTATTTTTTTTTCCTTAGAACAGTGTTGTATATCTAGAATGTGATCTTCACTTTAATGACTTACTCCACCTGAATATAGTCATGCGGACTGTAACTTAGCTGAATCTCCACGAAATGTAAAATTGGCAGAGACCTCCTGTGAGGCTCAGGACTACAAAGTGGGAAGGTCTGAAGTTTGGAGTTCAGATGCTCACTGTTTCCTATCTTTTAGCCCTAGTGACTAAAATTTATAAAAATTTTATAAAGTCTATAATTGTGTATGAGACTATGAGTCATCCTACTTTCTACGTTCTAAGTAATAATTTCTGTCAACAACCTAAGAAAGCCAGATCTGTGCCATGTGGTCTGCACATGCGCAGTTGAGGAAAACCACATGCCCCAGAGAAAAGCGAGGGTGGTGGCTCCCTCCCTAACCTCACTACTCAGGCTGCGGAACTCTCTGGAAAAGGAGAGATAGGGCAGTACGTCAGCCAAGCCCATCTTCCCCCACATCTTCACTTCTGAAGCCAAACAATGCTTATGACGCGTTACTCAGTTTAGAAGGTTTTTCTTACCGTCTTGTGAACATAACAGACCTTGAGGAAGATTTTCCACACATATATCTAAATTTATTTGCTACAGCATCAGAATTAGGTTACAAACCTGAAAGCAGTTTTACTTATCACACGTGATCTTTCCAGAGGTTACTCTTTTATACCTTGTATTAGATGCTTCATATTTTATCTTCTCTGTGTAGAATTTTATGGATGCACTCTCTCTATATACATGTGCGTATATAACAGCACACACATATTTTATATAATATATGTATATGTACAATAGCTATACACAATAACATAGATACATTAATTATTCCCTTGTACTAAATACTAATTTCCCCCATGCATATGCCTGCCTCTGATTAACACTCAGTTAGCTTTGAAATACCTTATTTTGTATAAACTTAAAATTGTGCGGCCATCCAATTTATTCATTTTCTTTTAAACTGAATAATAACCTTTTAATTCCCACTTTTAAGAATTTTACCCATGGGGTAAATTATCTACATCCGTTAGTATTCTTGGAGAAAAGGAAATATCATTTACCAAATAACTTTGGTTGATAATACTGATTTTATTATTTTAACTGTTTTCAATAGTACTTGTAATGTTTATATTTGTGATGTTTAGAAAATCTTAAAGCCTTTCTAATAAGTATCTCTTTCAATAGTTTTGCTTTTGCTAAATACAAATAACCCCCAAAATTTTTCTCAGTAGGAAAATACTTTATCGATTGAAAATGATCTTAATTCATTTATACAAACATCATAAGCAAGCCCTAAGGTAGCAGCTTTAGATGGAGATTGATTTCTTTCCTGAAATAGCAGAGCAGATGTAGAACTCTACCCATTATGGAAATTGTAGTAATAAACTCATAACCACGAGGAAGGAATGCATTTAAAATAACTTCTGAGGAGTTACCGTCCCACAGAGCACAGTGATTGATAATAAAGATGGTAGGTTATGATCATAAGGCAGAAGTAAGTGGTTATATTCCACTTGTCCCATCTTTCCATTTTTGTTCACAGTTGAATACCTGGGACTCCATAAGGCTACATATCAAAGATGTCCCACAAATCCCCCTTAATGACCAGCCAGGACTCTTATTTTCTTTTCTTTTGAGAAGATCTGGTATTTTCTTCATCCGTAGTAACCCCCAAAACCTTGTATTAAATCCACCGCAAGTGTGCAGGCTAGAAGGGCTACATGTGCACAAATTGTCAGGTTGGGTTGGTGCAAAGGGCGAGGTTGGGAGAGCGTTAAGATCTGTTACTCATGTGGATTTAATATGAAGGGAAAGCAAAATGAGACACTCGTGAAGAAACTGGCAAGAAAAGCCTAGCCTTTCTCTCCACCTGTTCGCCCACCTTCCCGAGTGTGACCATCTTGTTTCTCTCACACGGCAGCACCACACTCCTGAATCTCAGTACTGTTTATGCCCCTGCCCGTGCGAAAAGTCTCGCTAAATTTCTAGTCAACATCTTCAGGACCCTGAAAGTTTTCTAGTCTTTGTTGGTTTGCTTGGCAGGAACTCAAAGACCCTGCCGGGCCCGTTCTGTCCAAAAAGAGAACTGGAAAAAAGGAAAGAAAACTAGATAACTTTTTACTTAGATTCGCATAGGTGTGTTTCAGAGACAGAGCCTAGCACTTAATAATTACTTTCCTTTTGAGGAGCTGAATCAGAAGTTCTAACACAACTGCTTTGCCCTGATACTCCTGTTTAGGGAGCCGTAATGCACCAGGAAATCTTCAGAGTTATCGAGTGCCTTGTATGTACCAGACGATAGGAGAAGATGGTTTTGTCAACACTGTGCACTCACAGCTTCATACAAAGTGTTTCGTTCACCCACAATACAGAAATCCACATCCTTACTTCCACCTGTCCCCTCTCTAGTTCAATCACATGAAATCTCACGTAGCTGCACACATCTTGACAGATACAGTAAGAGCTTCAGCAGTTTCCAGATATTTTGAAATAGAGATTCAGAGCCCACTTCTGCTAGTTCTGTGAAATGGAATGATTTGCTTGCCCTTACTGAGCCTTACATTTTCTCCTGCCAAAATGGGAAGTGCCCGCCCCAAAATATCAACGTGAGAAGTAAATGAAAAGCACAGTTCACAAACTTAACATCATTTCTTCATGTGTACTAAGTAAATCAGAGCTGTTGTCATTTTTCACGATTGTATTTTATAATTGTCCTCCACCACTCATACTCCTTTACCATTTTTACAAAGAGTTACAATCTTAACTAATCACAAGAGGACAAGAGGCATATTTTACTTATTTTTGCACCCCTAGTTCCCAGCAAACTGCCTGGCACACAGTGGGTGCTTCATAAGTGCTTGAGTACATAATAGAAGCACAGTTTTTACTAAAGCAGCTTGCTCACTATATAATGTAGAGGGAATTGAGCAAAGCAGATGGGCTTACTAGCTAGAGAATCATGTGCACACAAAGTGATATGGTCATATGTGTGCATGAGGGCAGAAATATTTGAGTGTTCGAGTATTGCAGGCGCTTTAGAATTGACCTTCAACCTTAGTACCACCTGTGAGCCATAGTGGTGCAACTTGTGAAAACTTGTCAAGTGTGTTCTACTAAAGGTTGTAAGTGATAACTCTGAAGCCGTTTCGGTTGCATTTTACAAATGTGTGATTCTTGCTTTTCTCTGCATGTTCTTCCACATTTTAATTAGCTGTCCCAAGAAACAAAAGAATGAAAGTATTAGCTCATTTTAGCTACTAATACTTTATGAACTCTCTTAGAAATTAACACTGCTTTGCAACAACTCGCCAATTTTCATAACCACATTTATAATTTAGTAATTAAACTATATTTGGAGAATGTTTTCTGTAAGCCACCAAACCATTTTCATCCATCTAAAGAAGGGACAATTTGTTGCCTTAGTTTTATAGGTAGAGAAGCCTTCTTCACCCAAATCCAGTGTTAAAATATTTATCAAAGAAGTGAGAGATTTCTGGATCCCTTGACTATGTCAACCTAAGGCAGATTATTCAAGGACCACGCCTAGGCAGTTGCCCGCAGTAGAATTATTAATGGCATCTCTTTGAGAAAATTATAGATCATGTCAGTTACAGTTTTAAGTTTTTAAAAGTCATTTCCACATTTACAAAGTCCTGAAAATCAGAAGTAGTAGAGACTGCCATGTTACACAGAGTGAAACCCCATCTAACACAGTTGCAGGAGCAAGTTCAGCTTCCCTAGTTAAGTTCAACTTCCCTTCTTCCCTGGGCTGCGGGAGAAGAAAAGAGTCACATGAACCACAAAACCCTAATTAAACCCTAATTAAAGCAAAATTATTGGAGAATTTTAGGAAAGGTGATTTAATGCAAATAAGTATATATATTTTTTAAGCTCTCAATTCATTTTTTCATTGACCTCGCTAGTGCCTGCTGAGAGAGGCATCCAGCAGAATGCTAGAGAGCAAAGAAACATCATCTAGCTCTTTTCCCAAGGGAGGTCACAGTTGAACATGGCCTAAACAAGATGCAGAATATGGAGCCCTGTGACCTTGAGTAGCTACTAAATGGCCTTTAACTTCATGACGTATTTTAGAATACTAATTTCTATGCCAAAGATAATACCTTATGCCTCTCTAGACAGTCATTAATGTTTATTTTTCCTGTTACAGTCACAGGGCTAGGTATGTAACAGTCACTCGGTAGTAAACTGTTTTAAAGATTTTACTTCCAGTATCCAATATAAAGCCACCGAATATACTTCTAAGCATATTTCTCTATTCATCTTTTATTACTGATTTCTCGCCACACAAAATCAGTGTGTGTACTAACATTAAATGTAATCTTTTTGTCAAATTCTGCAGTTCAAAAGTTTAAGACTTTGGAATGTTTTATAATTTCCCCCTTTACAGTTCTACTTCTCTCATTATAGGAATCCCCATATGTTATGTACAAGAAAAATCACGAAATGTTTGAAGGAAATGACAAGTACGAAGGATACTGTGTAGATTTGGCATCTGAGATTGCAAAACATATTGGTATCAAGTATAAAATTGCCATTGTCCCTGATGGAAAATATGGAGCGAGGGACGCAGACACAAAAATCTGGAATGGGATGGTAGGAGAACTTGTTTATGGGGTAAGCACATCAACTTACTGAAGAATTTACTTACATAAACCTGAAACTTTTTTCCCCCAGGGCACATATCTATTTCTAAACCTATTACTGTTTTTAAATTTGCATTTAACATTCAGAGAAGCATATAGGATGTTCAGATGTTTCTCTAGTTCATTATGGTGCCATTCCCGAACAATGAGAGAAGCTAATACCTCATAACTTCAAAATCTAGAAGGGTAAAAATTTAGAGTATGATGTCCCATTTAAAAAAAAGCAGTGACTTCAGTACCTGTGATGATTATTCTCTTAATCTTGACGTTGCTCTATCATAGCCATGTTGTTGTAAGAACAGCACAACAAAGTTTTATTAATGTTACTCAGTAATTGAAGGGGAAAATTTCCTTCAATAGCATAAAGTAAGATCTTATTGTAACTAGTTATCTGTATCCCTGTTGCTTGTACTTCCTGGTAAATATCTTTTACATAATTTGGTGAAGCAATCATTAAAATACTTTAGCATCTATAAAATACTCAGTTCTGCTGCACACAGTAAATTTAAACTTTATGCAGTGGCATCATTTTTTTCGATGTTGCAAAACACAAAAGCCAGAATGGATCCCATAGCGGGCCTCACGTGAAACCAGGTGGAGCCCTTCCCTGGGAGCTCACCAGATACTGAGTACGCACACTTATTGCCAAGGGCAAACTCTGTGTCAACATGCCTGCCTTAATCAGAACAAGATCAGTTTTCTTCAGCTATCGCTGCAAAGGATCAAAATGAAACCAGCAGTTAGCAAGAGCTGGTGATGCCGGATACTTCCAAAGTCCAGAAACCAGCCCGAGAGCTCATAGCAACCTGTATCCGCCTGAAATGTGTTCAGAAATTTCCTGTGAGCCAATTCATATTTCACAGACTTCTCCTTCGGAGCACACTCTGTCTGATTCGCCCTCACAAGACCCCTTGGAAATAACTACATGAGAGCCATCCTTCCCTAGACAAGAATAAAGATAGAACGGCTGAGGACGTTAACTGAAGTCTGTAGAGGGCCCCCCTCCTGAGCCAGAACTGCAGTCCACTAGTTTCATGATTCTGCAGCCTGCATGTAGGGCCTGGCAGTGACCAACTTTCTGCAGCCAGTGCAGGACTGTAGCTGTCCCCTCAGCAGAGGAGGAAATTGTTTGGCGTTAAAGAGCAACCACTTAGTTTTACATCCATTTATGAGAACTACTGACTAGTGAAGTGTCCTAAATGAAGAAAAACAAATTGGCAGTTTTAAAGAATCAAAAAGTATTTTACCACACAGGGCTCATCAACAGTTTGACAGTGAGCTTTAGGCTCCAAAGAAAAAGGATTCCTAAACCATGTGTTCCTGGGTAATATTTTAAACATTTGGTAATATTTTTAACTTTTGATACAGTAACTAGATTTTAAGTGTAAACATTATTCAAGTTGTTAGAACTACAGCAATTCATTTCCTTCAGAAAACACTATTGGTTATTTCATCTCAGAAAATCCTGCTTGGATCGCCAATTAGTCATGGATGGCGTAAAGAGCCTAGGTTACTTTCTAGAGCATTTGTTACTTATCTCTTACGTGGAGTCCCTACCCACTGGGCATCCCAGGCTCACCCCTTTACAAGGGCTCTAACCATATGGTTCAAGTAACAAAAACAAGTGATATTTACAGAGTAGCATAGTTAACAAAAAGTTGTATCTGTGGTACACACCACCATAATGGAAAGTCCCATCAAGTCAAGGGGGTGTCAAAGAGAAAGAGAAGATAACATAGTGGTTATCAACTCTCGTTATGTTCATTCATCAGTTAATCCACCAGGGTTTAAATTCTCTCTTCTCTGCCACTTGACCTCTTCCCAAAAGGAATCTTTTTCCATGTGTCTCGTAGTTTCTGCAGACTCAGTGCTTCACATCCTGGTGTCTGTGAAATCTGCACTTTCTTCGCGGTTCTTTTACTTTCTTACTGCGAACACATACAACAGATATCCAGGTTCCGGGGCGCGGGGTGAAACTCCACCCATTCTGGGCTATCCACCAAAGCCCATTAGACAGCAAAAGGATTCACTTTGAACCTGTTGTTGTTGTTGTGTTGTTATGATCTTTGCACACTTTATCACTGGAATTGTTAGGAGTAAGAGTCCTGTGAAGCGCTCACGTGTGGCCTCAGCGCACCACCAGGTGGTGGCCCAAGAGCACAGACCTCCCTCCCCGGCAGGTGCTCTCTCCACTGCGCACCGTGCGCCCGGCCAGTCCATTCCACGGTCTCCTGTGGCCCTTCTGCTGGGCCCTGCCGTACTCGTGTGCGTGGACTTGAATCCACGGGAGTATTTCTCCAGGCACGTTCCGTGGCCGGCCCGCACCAGGATCACCTGTGCTGTGTGGTAAAATGCCAGTTCACGAGCCTCGCTCCAGAGGCCCTGAGAGCCCAGGTATCATCAAGTGTCCGCAGGAGAAACTTTACATACTTCGCTCTGGGAATCACCGAGAGGTCATGGAACGCCTCCAGGGTTAGCAGACAAAGCCCAGCTACGTCTCCTCTGTTCACTGTCCACTTCCAGAACTTTCAGACGTCAGAAGTGTCCTCAGGGACGTCGCGTCCCCACCTCCATCAGGTGTCTGCCCGCCCTCACATCTAGTTTCACATGCAGGAGGCTCCCTTGTTTCCATCCATGTTGCTTTCCTTTTGTAGAGTTAACTCACCCATGGTCACTTGCATAAATAAGGAGTTTCTAAGAACATGGCACCGAACGAGTTACGAGGGGAAAGGTGATGCTCCAGATGAAGGGTGCCCAGGACACGTGTTCCTCTTGCAGCAGCAGGACAGTCACTTGGAAAAGTCACAGCATCGTAGGCTGTCATCACGTATTCCCCCAAATGCAGCTTGGAGGGATTGTGGGCACAAGAATAAAATACATATGATTGAGACTGATCATACAACATGAGAAGAATTATTCTCCAAGTGTTTATTTATTTTGAGGGAGAGCAAGCATGAGTAGGGGAGGGGCAGAGAGAGAGAGAACTAACAGAACTCCCAGGCAGGCCCTGAGCTGTCAGCACAGAGCCCACTACGGGTCTCGAACCCAGGAACTGTGAGATCATGACCTGAGCCGAAATCAAGAGTCAGACACGCAACCGACTGCGCCTCCCAGGATCCCCTAATGTCACAAGAATTTTTCTAAGCATGAAACCAAAGGCTGAAGACACAAAAAAGATAATTTTATATGGCTACAACAAAATTTAATACGTATATTGCAATAAAGTACCATGAACTAAGTTACATAAACAAAACAAATGCTGAATAGGGAGAATATTTGCAACATATTTGGAAAACAAATGTTAACATTTTGAATGTGTCTAAAAGTGCTTACAAATTAGTCAGTAAAAAATGAATGTACCATATGGAAAATAGGTGGCGATTACAATAGATTATGACACTTAAAAAGGTAATGTATCTATTTGTTTTATAAAAACAAACTCAAATTAATACAAAGAGATCTAATTTTCTGTAGAGAAAATTGGCAAAGATAAATGAGAGTAAAGACACACATGGGCTGCCACCATCCATAGCTGCAGATGCTGTCACACAGTGTTGGTGACAGGAGAAATCTGCGTGGTCTTCCTGGAGAAAAGTTGCACAAAACATATTGTGACCATTACAAAGATTGATACCATTTAGGCCAGCAACCCCACTTCTAGAAATCATCTTAAACAATTAAGGTATGTGCTAGAGTTTGTTTTCAAAGATGTTCACATCATCAAACTTTTAAACTGTGTAAACCTGGAAACAGTATAAACATTCCTTAAAATAATAAGTAGATTGAGTAATTTTTGTTATTTTCACACGATAAAATACTAATCATTAATCTTTATATGATAAAATGAAAAGGAATTCATCATTTCCTTCTGAGTAAAGGAATTATGAAGTAGTGTTTTATGAGGCACCTGTGTGGTTCAGTCGGTTAAGATCTAACTTTGGCTCAGGTCATGATTTCGTGGTTCATGGGTTCAAGACCTGCATCGGGCTCTGTGCTAACAGCTCGGAGCTTGGAGCCTGCTTCAGATTCTGTGTCCTCTCTCTCTGTGCCTCCCCTACTTGTGCTTATTCTCTCTCTCTTTCTCTCTCTCTCTCTCAAAAATAAACATTAAAAAATTGTTTTAGAAAACATAGTTTTATATTACCCTATTGTAATATAAGAAAGATATTGTTGATCAAACCATGTCTAGCAGGGTATATAGTAAGACAAAAATAAGAGTAGGTGAAGAGAGTGGAGGTAACTTTTCCTTAATTTGGAGATTCTGTGTTTATATCCAAATTTTCCCATGGCTAGTTTATATATCATTCGTTTAATGAAAACTATACAGATAATAAGATGGCAGAAATAAACACCTCCCAGTAGTGAGTCTGACTTCTGCACATGGGGGCGTTTCTGGTGTAAGCTAAATGCGTTCCCCTAGAAGGCACCTCTGGTGAAGGTGCACTTACCCAGTGGGCAGCATCATGGCTGGAGAGCACTGCCCTCGCCAGCCCTCCAGACGCCCTGCATCAGGCTGCTGGCCATCGTGTGAACCAGCGACCCGAGGGCGTACAGGAGCGAGGCCGCCTCTGTGTGAGAGCACGAATGCTTGACCTGTGTCCCAGATTCCACTTTAATGCCAAATATTTTCCTTTCCAAATGAACAATCAAATAACCTTTATTTTTTCACCTGTAGAAAACAGGTTACAGTTTTCTCATACACTTTATTTCATTCCGTTTTAGAGATGGCATGATTTACGGAAGAAACACAAGCCACAGTCACAGAACTGCCATGATGTGTAAAACTCACCCGAGTCTCAGTTCCATCATCTAGGAAACAGTGATAGCAGGATTATCATGAGTGTTCAGTGAGAGGCCCTTTAAAATATTTAGTTTGGTGTCAGTTACCTAGTCCTTCGATAAGTGGTCACTAGTATTTTATTGATGTTTTAATGGATAATCACAATAATGCAGTGAGGCAAACAGAAAAGTGTCCTCGTTGTAGAGATATGGGAAAGGGACTCAGAAAAATTGCTCAAAGTCACAGAACAAAAATGGAAGCTAGTGTCTTAATGATCCTAATATCTGAGAATTGAATCTACTGGTTTCCAAAACAGTGTTAGAAATTGGAAGTAGGAAAAATCATAGTATGCGAATAGGAAGAAATAAATGCCAATTTCCAGATTTTTGTGTGTGCGCTGGATTGGAAAATGTCATCAAACAACGGGTTTCTTCTGTCCTACAAACACTGTGTGATAGGTTTGTCACAACTGGAAAGGGATAAAAGGGGACTGTTTGAAATTTGCCATTCATAACACGAAGGCATGGCCAAGTGATGAGTCCGTGGCACCATTCCAGTGGAAACAGAAAAGGCTGTAACATACCAATTCTGGCCACGAAATTCAGAAGTTCGGCCATATGGAACAGCAATTAAGGCCCCCCTCTGCCCCAGCCCACGTCCTTAAAGACGAATACAGTTATTTTGAGTCCAAGTGATTGTTACCTATGCCCACTGTGTCTTTCTCGTCTCTAATTACTAGCATCAATAAGAGTATTTTGTGCAGTTGAAATGGTATGCTCTCGTATGAAAGCAGTCTACTGCCCATCTCTGTATGTGTCGCTGTCCATATTCGGTTGCTGGTGTCCCCCCCTCAAAGTGTAGAGTGGATGCACTAACTTGAGTTTTGAGTGGATCGATCCAATGCTCACCGCTTCTTGAAATGCATTAACCTGTGTGTTTTCATGTGTCTTTTCTCTTATAGAAAGCAGAGATTGCGATCGCCCCTCTGACAATCACTTTGGTCCGAGAGGAGGTCATTGACTTCTCTAAGCCCTTCATGAGTTTGGGCATATCTATCATGATCAAAAAGCCTCAGAAATCCAAACCAGGAGTGTTTTCCTTCTTGGACCCTCTGGCCTATGAGATCTGGATGTGCATAGTCTTTGCCTACATTGGTGTCAGCGTGGTCTTATTCCTAGTTAGCAGGTTCAGTCCCTACGAGTGGCACACAGAAGAGCCAGAGGACGGGAAGGAAGGACCCAGCGACCAGCCTCCCAATGAGTTTGGCATCTTTAACAGCCTCTGGTTCTCCCTGGGTGCCTTTATGCAGCAAGGATGTGACATTTCACCCAGGTTAGTCTGAAAACATCAGTTCTTCACCGGTTCCCGGTGATTCTCTGTGTTGTGTAGAACATCTCCTCCATGTTCTTTTCCCGGAGGCAGAACATTACTTGAAACGCAGGAAAAAAAAACTTGGCATTTCCCAAATTAACCTAAGTACATTCATGGCTAGTTTCCCCAACTTGGCACCAAATGTGGACACCTCACCAAGATGAACCTTCCCACTGGAAAAGTAACGTACGCTACCCGTCAGAACTCTCCCAGAGCAGTTCAGTGTTAATTTTTCCTTCTGTGGTGAGACAGATGGAGATGAAAATCTCAACTGGAAGAATGAGAATTCACTTCCATTTTGTCTCCTTTTCAAAATCAAATCGTTTTGTTACTATTGCTGCTGTTGTTGTTGTTGTTTTTTAATTAATTTTGAACTTGATTTGCAGGAGATTTCTGCCGTAGAGTTACCTAAAACCTGAGTCAGTGTAGTGGGTAGCAGGTATATATTGTTCTGCATAACAATACACAAACTAAGCCGTGGGCAAAGTTCAGCAATGTACTGTGTTAGTTTAATAGAGACTTTTTCAATATCTCTGGAGTCATGGCTCACTTCCTTTGGATGTCACTAAGACATTTTCAGTTATGTTTGCCAAAGATGCAGCCAATCTCCCATTATGAGAAAAATACCAAATTTCTTCTGTAGAAAAAATAGCGGAAAGTAGAAGAAGCTAAGAAATGAATTTAAGTAGTGACTTATATCACCATCGCAAATGTATAGATTTTTTTAAAGAAATATATGCTTTCTCAAAAAGAGACATTTTAACCAGAATGCAGTTTGTTTTCCTTAAGACCTAGGAAAACTATAAATGTGTTCTAATTCCAATAACATAGGAATCTGAGTCCATAACTCTGAATTAGTTAAATGAAAAGAAAGCAAAGTAAATCAAATAATGGTTTTGAAAACCAGGATTAAGCAAATGCCAAATTAAAGCCAACAAGTGCTACTAATATAATTATGATTAAGAAATGTCACAGAAAATACGAAAATTTGTTTCTTAAACTAAAAAGTTGTTTATAAACAATTTGTCCCAGGAATTTTAGTAGTTTGATGGTCCCAGTGAATGCTATCAACTATGAAAACGCCCTGGATTTTTTATTCCCATCCTCACTCTTCCTCTGTGTCTCCATCACCCACACATGTCTGATACCAGAGAAAGGATGAGGAAAGAACTTCTTTTCTGGAAGGTTGGCTTCAGGTTTTAATGCCATCATGCTGCCCCTGGACAAGACACATGCTCTGGTCCCGTGTCGGCAGTGGCAGGGGGGACTTTTTTACACAGGTGTGTAACGATACCTTAGGACATAGCCCAGCCTCCACTCAGATCAGAAATGTTCAGAAGTGAGATGATCAGAAAAACTAAAACTGCGGCCCCTCGGAGAGCAGGCTGAGTCATCAGTGGCCCAGCCTGTGGCAGGGGCCACTTTGGCACATGCCCCACCCACCCTGGCAGGGCTCTGACTGAAGGTAATCACAGGTTTTCTCATAAGGGCCCTGACCCGCTTGTGTCAAATCTAAGACCTCTCCCATGTTAAGGTGTGTTGCTGCCACCGGTACCACATGACTGTGTTGTATCTCATGGCCAACAGGCCTCATCCCAATTCCAGGGACACTAAAATGTAAAGAGAGGAGGCATCAACAAATTTAAGCGCATATTCCTTTTCTATACCTGAAGGAAACTCATTAAGTCCCACATTTCTGCCAACTAAACAATAAAAAGGAAACGTTTTCCATATTGTCAGTGGAACTTATAGATTCAGTATACCGTCAAGGGCATCAGGTTATACAGAAGGCTAAAATCATTCTTGAGTAGACAGAAAATAAAACAATATTTGCAGTTGTTGTTTTCAACATACATTGTGAATCGATGGCATTTCTTTTTTCTCTCTGTTGGTTAGAGAAAGGAAAATGTGCATTATCTTGTCCATGTTCAGATCCCTCTCAGGTCGGATTGTCGGAGGTGTCTGGTGGTTCTTTACACTCATCATTATATCATCTTACACCGCTAACCTCGCTGCTTTCCTGACGGTGGAGCGAATGGTCTCCCCCATAGAAAGTGCAGAAGACCTGGCCAAGCAAACAGAAATTGCCTATGGAACATTGGATTCAGGGTCAACAAAAGAATTCTTCAGAGTAAGTTAAGGGGAAAACTAACTGTGAAGTGTTCCTAATTTTGAAGTTCAGGCCATTTTTGCCAACAATCATTTTATGGGCTCTAGCTATTGTAGGTTTTATACGTACAATAATAACCTCTATGTTTAATGCTAGTACTTCTACTTGGATTTTATACTCACTTTAATTTGCAAAAGCTAATCGATTTATTCACATTGCAAGAAAGACCAAAGGAAAAGTAACAACAAAAAGGTAATTTAAACAACTTTAGAATGTAACTTATCCAAATGTTGATTATTATTCCAATGTTGATAATGCTATGATGATTCTGCATCTGGGAAGATTGAATATATGTATGTTTTGGGGTTAAGAGCATAAAAATGAAAGCAAGATTTTTTAATTTTTTTTAAGAATACATTTAACATGCTGCCTTTGAAACCCTAAACTGCAAGTTATACTACCTTCTATGAGGTATATGTAGTCTATATTCTGTAACAGTGGATTTCAAAGCAATATATTTGCTTCCTCACAAGATAATGGTAAGAGAACTGTTATGTTCTGGACATCTTTGTAGGACTTGGTATGTGCTGATTTCTCTGCTTTGCAGATAAAATTGTTCAAACTGATAGAAATTTACATATGGATGTGACCCCTTTTGTTTGGCAGGTATTGGGGGGGTTGTGTCTGTATTTTTAGTTGTTTGTTCCATTGTGAGGATGAATTTTTGATCAGTGAAACTCTCTTATTCGGCTTCTACTAAAATCCAGAGATATGTACTTGGTAATGTCTGGTCAGAGGTGAGAATTCATTTTGTGACTTCAGAACTAAATCACTAAAAGGTAGTCAGAGTGACATTTTCTCAAGTATTTTCCTAAGAGTAATGAGGACATTTTATGTTTAATTTCAATTTCAGGATAGGTTTCCTTGTTTTCTAAGGTTTTATTTAAGAATAATGATAGCCTTTTATTTAAAGTAAGCTCCTGCTTACATATATAGTACTGGAAGATTGCATTGTCATTTTAAATGTATATGCTTATCATTTTCCCACTCAGCATGAAAATTAAAAGCAACAAAATGTCCTATTCCTTAAGGCAGTCTCAACTTTCATGTACTTGGGGTTCGGTAAGAGAACTCTCTTTTTTTTAAAGATCTGATTGTGTTATCCTTATATACTACAGATTTTTATATAATACTAAATTAAAACAAGACACACAAAAATTCTGCCAAATGCATCATTGGGCGGTGTTTAAAAAAGAAACCAGGCAATGAACAATGTCTTTGTCAACAATCTGGAGCATTGCTAAAGATATAATGAAAATTTTATGTTAATGATAAAGTATTTGTAGATTTTTCTAAAACTGTAAATAATAGTCATAACAATAGATTTCATTAACATTGTTCTATGGATACACTTAACTAAGCAAATTTTTTAAATTTACTGAGTACATCCCAGTCTTTAAAATTCACTCATTTGGGGCGCCTGGGTGGCTTAGTCGGTTAAGCGTCCGACTTTCGCTTAGGTCATGATCTCGCGGTTCGTGGGTTCGAGCCCCGCGTCGGGCTCTGTGCTGACTGCCAGCTCAGAGCCTGGAGCCTGTTTCAGTCTGTGACTCCCTCTCTCTCTGACCCTCCCCTGCTCACGCTGTCTCTCTCTCTCTCCTAGAAATAAATAAAAACATTAAAAAAAAAAAGTTATAAAATTCACTCATAGAAACATACCACTCTAACACATTTTATCATAATTTAAGTACCTTGCTGGAAATCTCTTTTGTAACTGCTTCCACCAAGAGTAAGTCGGTAAAATTCAGTAACTGCCCAGGAACCATTACGCATAATCATCAAAATACAGTACAAGTTTGTGCTATCACTTGCATTTTCCTGAAAAAATGGTGACTGATTTTCATGGAAATAAGGCACATATTTGCAGGCTCATTACCCTGCCTTGAGTGATAAAGGGAGAAAGAAATGTCATGTTGATTCCCTGAAAATTTTTCAAAAATAACTCACCGTAAAGCTCTCTGACATCAAGCACAGTGGAAATGTTTATTTCTAATCTTTATAGAATTTTTGAAAGTGTCCCAAATTCTGAAAACTGGTGAGGTAGATAAGGGAATATGTTGATAAGAAGCACAGGACTAAAGGAAGCTGTTTGCCGGGATTTACAGAGCCCGTCACACGGGCTACGCAGTCACCGTGCCCCGTTTCCTCTCTCTCCCACCCCACTTCAGCTTCAAAACTGAAGTTTTTTTAGAACATAGGTATTTATTGTTGCAGAACAGTCTGAATCCTAATGGAAGAAGAGAAAGTAATTCCCTGGCCGCACCCTTTCAGAAATGCATAAACTTGGGTTCTCTGATAAAAATCAAATTCATTTCCTACCCTGTGTTCTCCCTCCTCTCCCACAGATGATGACCCGGTTTAAATAAACCATTTTGTGTGACGGGTCGAGGAGACAGACTGTGAAGGGTATTTTCGTACTTGTCAAAAATGTTTCCTCACGGGAAACCAGTAACGGTACATCCATCAGCTCCGCAGAACTGCCAGGGGCGGTGACTATGCTCGGGGCTGCAGAGCAGGTTGCAGTTACAATCAGCTGCGGGAGGAACCGGGCCGCGGGGGAGAAGCACGTCGGGGCTCACCTGTCGCCCTGGGTGCGCCCCGTTCCGGAGCCTGGTAGTGCGTTTCGTGTCCGCGCACCTTGTTCAGCATGAACGTACAGGCGTTTAAACAGAGTTCGTGTTTGTCACTTACTGACAGCCTTGCTCGCTAGGTACTGAGACATTATCACGCACCTGATTCCCACGCGAGGCTTTTTTATTTCCGTGCAGACTTCCCACTGTGGCTGTTTGAGTCCTCAGGGAAACCACGAAAGCGTCAATGGGGTGGATTGCTACCTCAGGGCTTCTAAGAATATCAGAGCTTGTGAACATCAGCCTTGCTGCATAAGCGTCTAGAAGCGGGAAATAATTCACCTGACAACAATGTAAATACTGACTAGAACGCATGACGTGTGCACATATCTTCTCTTAAAAACAGGAATGGCAGAATACTTACTTTTTGAGAAATGAAAAGGACAGCACACTTTTAAAACTCCAAGAATTACTTTAACTAGTAAAATAGTGCTTTAAATCAGTGAGCCTCCTATTCATTGAGCTTCAAAAAAAAAAACAAATAATTCTGAGATTATTTTTCTAATCTCAAGCAAAAAATGACTTTTATATTATCTTTCCTTGTTACCTTGAGCGTATTCACCCTCCAAACCTAATCTTTAAGAAGATGTTTTACAGTTGAAGGTTTTAGGGACTTAAAATCCCATTATCACTGTGTTTATGAGTTCGCTGGGTCTGCAGAAATTCCCTTTTAGCCTGTCTCATCAATTTATAAAGGTTTGCTTGCCCTCACTCCGTAGCAGACACCTCCTGCGGTCACAGATAAGGCATGGGGATATTCTTCCCGTCTTTCCCTTCTTGAATGCCCCAGCAGCCCCTTCACCGTGTGGATGTGATCTTATCTATGCCACGTGCCTTTAAATCTGAATCAGAATTTGTAAACATTGACAGAGTGACACACAGTATAATTTTTTCCCCAAAAAGAGTTGCTTCATTATTCGTCTAATTTTCCAGCGGGTTGCTGGATTTTTACAGTCTGTTGTACATACAGTCTGCTAAGTTTGGCTCAACCGCACTATGGACTCCTCTTTCTTCTGGATTTGAAAGAAATAAATTTCACTTCCTTTGCGCTTAAGGTATATGTAATTCAATATATTTAAACAAATGCAGCAGTAATTTTCCTCACATGAATATTAGCCAAGTGGACTTCTAAAAAATATCAGTGGCCTAAAGATACCTTATTCCTTTAAAACAGCATGAGCAGGGGAGGGTCAGAGAAAGAGGGAGACACAGAATCTGAAGATGGGCTCCAGGCTCTGAACTGTCAGCACAGAGCCCCACGCGGGGCTCGAACCCACGAACCGTGAGACCGTGACCTGAGTCGAAGTCAGACGCTCAAGTAACTGGGCCACCCAGGTGCCCCTAAAACCAAAACTTTAAATCCGACTTTTATCACTATTTTTCTCTGTCGACCTGAATCATATGATTTTGCTCCAAACACATGTCTTAAGTTTGCTCTTCAGGATATTTGATAACTGAGGATCTGTTATTTATTTATTAGAGTCTATGTTCTGATAAAGGAAGGTCAACGTAAAATGAATATACATGGTAACCAGGATTTGCTCTCATGCTCAGACTTCAGTCTGAATGAAGTCTCCATTAATTTTTATTTGGATCCAGATACAAAATTTCAGCACCTTGTTGTTGAACAAACACTTGTACCAGAAAACTCTAAGTATCATTATATTTTCAAACATCAAACAAAAAGCAGGTTTTTCTGACTCATTAAATATATCCCTTGGGGACGTTTGAGTTCATGTGGGGAAATTTTCACATTTGAAATGTCTATGTGGATAAAGATCTAGCATGAATGCAGATGCCAGCACAAGGATTTAGGTGAATTAAGTAGTAGAGAAATTTAGATGGAGCCCAAATGGACAAAAGTAAACTTCTTGGCTAAAGTCAGGGTATTAGAAAGACTAACTCCCCAAAATATATAATAGGAAACCAGGAATCACTTTCTTTATTTTTCAGTTTTTCTGACTTTTTACTTGAAATTTATTTTTATTTTTGGAAGTATCGTTGACATACAATGTTATTTTAGTTTCTGGTGTACAATATATTGGCTCAGCAATTCCATTCATTACTCAGTACTCATCGTAACAAGTGGACTCGACATCCGTCAGCAGACGTGTTCTGTATCCCTGTGTGGTACTTTTCATCCTCATGATATTTCTAACTCGAGGTTTGTACCTGCAGAGAGAGAAGGAATCACTTCTCTTTAAGTTTCATGTATGTTCTACTTGGAGATTCTCTTAGAAAAAGTCTGAAACTGTTTGGTGGACCTAGAGTTTGACCCCCGTGCCGGGGCCGTTGGTTTATGCACCACCGCTGTGCCCTCTCTTCCTGTAGCCCCTCGGCTGCTGACGTGGCCCAGAGCCCTCTTCCTATTCGGCTTCAAGTGCTTCACGTTTACTACTCGGAAGCATGAGAAAAGACAAAACTGACAACATAATAACACTCCTTACCTGCTACAGTTCAAGTGCAGGATTAAAAGGAATTTTACAGAGCTGACCTCAGGTCTAATCTGGCCCTTTTCAGGTTTACCATGTGATAGGAAATATGATTTTAAATGTTTAACTCTCTTTATGGTTTTCTACATTTAAAAATAAAAATAATAGTGCATTGTTCTTTAATCGCTTGAGGAGGGTAATTGTGTATGACAGGCGGGCCCTGCCTCTGCAGGTTTCACTTCTCAATGTCTGCCTCTTCAGTGATTTCCTAAAGTAGGTGTAACAGGCAGTTTGTTCGCTGGAGAAGAAAGTGCCAGGAGGCCGAGGTTGGAGTTACAGGAGAAGGGAAAGAAAGGTACTTAGGAGGGCTTTCTCCCTGTCTGCGTTCCTCCACATTAACGTGTTGTTCCCTTCTTTCCTGTATTTAATTTTATTTTAATTTCCTCCAGAGATCAAAAATAGCAGTGTATGAAAAGATGTGGACCTACATGCGATCGGCAGAGCCGTCAGTGTTCACCAGGACCACAGCTGAGGGAGTAGCTCGTGTCCGCAAATCCAAGGGCAAATTCGCCTTCCTCCTGGAGTCCACTATGAACGAGTACATTGAGCAGCGAAAGCCGTGTGACACAATGAAAGTGGGAGGAAATCTGGATTCGAAAGGCTATGGCGTAGCCACGCCCAAGGGCTCCTCATTAAGGTGGGTGGAATAGTATAACAATAGAGCACGTGTTGTTATAGTATTCCACCCTCCCTGATGTCCCCGGCAGATCGTGTGGTTTTGTGTGTGAACGTGGTATGTCCGTCCGTTTGCTTTTCCTCCATTCCATATCTTTTGATCAACAGTCAGGTAAATTTTTTTTTACTTTTGGGATAATGAATCATGGTTGACAGGGACATCTTTTAAGGCCATATAAAAACCAAACTGGTTGAACACTAGCTGCCTCCAGTGGGCCGAAAACGTGGGTGGCCGCACTTCTGTGTCGCATCAGCTTTGCTGGGTCACTAAAATCTGCGCTCTCATTTTGTCAGTTAATAATTCTCCATTTTCTCATTATTTTTCCAAACCCTGCCTGCCCACTAGTTGCCGAGTAAGGAAAAAAACAGCCTCTTCCTAACACAAACCACTTTTTTTTTTTTTTTCCATTTCACTGTTTCATTTATTACGGCATCATTCTCTTTTAGATTCCCGTGAGGGTGTATGGGTGCTAACTCGGTAGCCACAACCGTTACAGACGCAGTCACCATCCGCGGGGAGACTAGGCTCTGACACTGTGGTGCTTACTCCAGTCTCACTCCCGCCCGTTGCCGAGGGAGTATGGCTCAAGTAAGATCCATAAAATCAGACCCGATGACCGTCTAGAATTCCCCCAGAGGCCCCTGCACTGTGATTCATGATCAAGGCATCACCCGTGTGGGTTAATGGCTATGGTGTTAACCCACACGTGTTAAAGATGAGGCTCCTTGTGAAGGAGACGTTGGTAAGATCTGCCCTCTGTGCCCTTTTGGTCCTGGACGTAGAGGATTCACGTGTTTATGCCCCGGAGGCACAATTCCCTCTTTTCCTTAAGCGATAAAGGCTGCTGTTGAATCGTTGGGGCTAGAGCAAAGCCCGAGTCCGAAGTGACAACTGACCGATTACTCTGGTCTCAGTGCTGCTTAGGAGGGATTCGTACAAAGCACAGATTCAAGAAGAAGTCAGAATCTTTGCTAAAGGACTTAACCACGAACCTGATGTTGAGAAAGGATGTCTCTGGTAAGCCTTTGAAACACAAAAATAATGAGACCTGAGCCCAGTAGGAATGAAAACAATATAAAAATTACATGATTGTTTTCACTGATTTGAAAAGGGAACCAGCGTGCTCTGGATGTGTGTCTTGGGCGGGCGGGTGGGGGTAACACAGAACAAGGAAACAAATACCAGTCCTGGGAAGGTCGTATTAACCAGTATTTTGTGTTTGCAAGCAGCACTGTGATGATTAGCGAGGGCTTTTACAGGGTGTCCAAGGGACAGGTCTCAAAGCAGAGAGAAGAGAAGCTAGCCGGAGACAGATTTGGGTGTGGACTTTGGCAATTCTGAAGTCAGGCTCATTTGAACATCCCTCCCTCCTGAAACCGGAGAAATGTTTAGGGAGAAAGCCAAACAAATAAATGACCCATGATCAAATTCTATCCCAAAATATTTCAACCACTCAGAAACTTAAAGAGGCAACAGGGCGTTCGGTCTTGGAGGGTATATTTTGTATGTTGCAATGTGAGAAATAGGTAACAGCAGGGAAGCCAAATAGCAAATAAATCTCTACTGAAGTGGTAGCTCTCAGAGCACCTTAGTGTAACTAATGTACGAGGAATAGAAGGGGAGACGGCACTGGTGGCTGAGGCGTACATCAGTGTTCAGACGACTGATTACATTCACTGGGTGTCGCTTTTTCTTAATTAATTCTCTGTGGGTGTAGCTGCCTTGTCCTCTGTCTTGTGTCTCCTGATAAAGTCAAGTTCCAGGGACTGCATTTGGCCCTCAGATACGGGTGCGTCTGCCTCCCATTGATGGCAAGAGAGAGTTCCCTCTTAAATGTGCCACTTTGTCAAATCCACACTACGGGGATTGTCTGGGGACGAGCTCAAGGGCTTCATCTGTCTGGAACTGTATAATCATCAGCTCTTGGCTTCCCCCTCCTTTCCTGTCCTTCCCTGGATCTTGTTAATGAGTCAATTGTTAGACCCCGCTTCCTGGATGGAGAGTTTCTTTCTGTGCTTTGTTTTGTCCCCGCCACAATTTCCTGAGCAAGCTGGCCCCTGCATGCCAAAACCACGGGCGTTCTCTCCTGTCTTGGCAAACACTGGAAGGGCACTGAGGGCTAAGCAGCGTGCACCTTACCCCTACCTCCTCACTTCCCCACCCCCAGCCCCGCTACATGGTGGGGAGGGGGAGAGAGAGGGGTTCATTAGTCTTAAATTCTCATTCTTATCCCATTAGGATCCTTCTGTTTGAACAGAGGCAAACTAATATAGAGATGGCCTAATAGTCACCCTCTGCTTGAAAGATGTAGTTTGTAGAAGCAAATCCAAAAACTCTGAATGTATCACAGCAGGATCCAGAAGGCACACCTGTTTTGAGAGTGTCTTCGAAAACTTTCTTCCTTATTTGTTCAGTAGAGACTGTTTTCCGATGGTTCTATCTTTTTTTTTTTTTCACTAAGTCTTTAGGTTAATACTTCTCGATATAGTGAGACTTGTCTGTTTCATTATCATTAGTTACGACTTTCACAAACTCAGCTGTTTTGATTCGTTGGGCAATGTGAGACTTTAAGAACAGGGAAACTGTAGCCTTCTGTGTCCGCAGAACGCAGGCGGACGGCTGGCAGTCTTATGTTGGGAGTCTCACATTTCCACACCTCCTGTTTGGTCCCAATACCTCAGAATAAATGTCACAGAAAAGAGGAAGAGTGTCGTATAGAATCAGGATGGAAAGCCAAGAATTGGATCTTTAAAGTAGACTTTACAACAGATGCAGTCGGGATCCTTACAGAGACTGCTTCTATGACTGGGACAGAAAATAACTTCAATAGGGATGAGCAGCGCCCATCGTGACGCTAGAGAATAACACGCCGAGCTCCTCTTTGTTCAGAGACACTTTACTTCAGACTCTGTTTACTAGCTTTATAGATAGCTTTCCGTTACAGAAGGCCAGTAGCTATGCCCAGAGATTGTTGGGATTATTGGACTTAGACACAGATTCGTCGAGTTTTAGGTCCTAGGAGGCTGCTAGGGTTACTGACGCCGTTGAACGTGGCATCTGTAGATCCTACTGTAATAAAAGGAAGCAGTTGCAGTGAGTGCGCCTATGAAGTAGAAATACCAACCAGTGGAAGAACCTAAATCTTACTGGCATAGTATTTATTTTCCAAAGTCATCTTCTAAAGAAGACTTTCAGTTCTCATTGTGAGAGAAGAGGCTAAAACCTCCTCTTGTATCTTACCGGCCATCCACCCCCACCCCCATCCCACCCCCTGATACTTCTCTTGAGTCTTCTTTTCGCGTGAACAGTGATACTTACACTACTATCAACATCCTGGTCTTCCTTCTCATTCCCTCTCCAGTACCTTTGGCAACCGAAAACAATTGTGAAATTCTCTGGCTGAGAAATTTTTAAAGGTTGTCTTAAAAGACACGCTCTGGGCAGCACTGCAGTGGAATCTAGAGTTTAGATGAAAGAGGTAGTGTGTTTACTTTGACTTTACCATCAATACGATCAGCTTTACCGTACAGCAGATACCTGCATCCTTTTTATTTATTGCATAGTAAAGTTACAAACTTTACTACCAAAATACTGTCTTTATGATTGTATCTGTATTACACTAGTTGCTATACTCTCGACTTTACTGTGCAGTAAGTAAAACTGATAAATGTTATTAAGAGCAAATCTTAACTTAGTTAATGCCGATTTACTGGCTACTAAAGAGCTGTTACATGAGAATACCCCTTCTAAAGATACGCATGGTATCTAGTATCTGTGAGCACCTCTAGGGAGCGCAGCAATGAATCATATCTGAAGACTGCCCCTGGCCTCTGGAAGAAGTTACATACTTGACCCTGATGTTTGAAGCCAAGGAAAAAAAACAAAAAACAAAAACAAAAACCTTAGTCTCCTATCTTTTATTATTCAGCATTGATAATTCTCATTCAAATTCTACCTTCCATAGAAATGTTGGCAAAGCTATGTCCAAAATAAGATAAATGCTCTCTCACCCCCACCCCCACCCCCAGTTTCCAAAGAAAGCAGTTCCAAAGAACTTGATCAGTAATCGAAACCTGGAAAACCAGGAGGCTCGGTTGGACTTGCTGACGTCCGATCGCAGGAACCCATGGCAACAGGAGCACAGGCTGTGAAGCGAGGCGCCGGGTGCTTAGTTTACAACAGGCAGCTTGGCCGGGGCGGTGGCGGGCGGAGGCAGGGGCAAGAGCTAAGAACAGCACCTTTCTTTGGACTTTTCCTTTCAGTATTTAACACCCTCACCAGCCTCCCCGACAGTGGGCCCAAGTCGAGCTCTCTATCAGGGCTGGTAGAGTTCTCTGTAGGCCAAATTGTTTCTTCCACTTTGGAGGGTTCTTTAGGGCAGATGTATTAAATTTCGTATTCAAATCCACGTGTAAAACAGCTATTATCCCTAAGGAACCACTTTCTTATGTAAGATTGATGATACGTGTTTATTCATCAGGTCAAGTCGACTTAGAAGCTTTAGAAACAAGGGGCTTACAGGATGTTGTGCGTGAAAATAAAGTTGATGTCTGTTTTTGGTGTTAGTAACAAGTCAACCATTAGCACTTAATGTGGACATTAGAAAACCTTAAAAGTACAGGAAGTTAGAGCTGAGAGCAGCACTCGGCCTTGAGTGAATAAACTTTTCACTTGTTTTCCAGAAATGAGTTGCAGCAGATTGATAGACGGTTTTGTTTTTTAATTTTAACTATTACGGAAGGAGATGTTTCTGTTTATGAATACCCTTCATTTTTCTTGGTGTCATATTAAAAGATGCTGTAGGTAGCTTAGTTTGGGGGATCCCATCATGATTTGGAACACAGCCTGTTGCAGCAGGGATTAGAACACGCACACACACAGATCACGCGCGCGCGCGCGCACACACACACGTATGAGCACACAGACCCCTGGTTGTGATCTGCGTAATCACTTACCCAGTT